TTGGCTACGAATCGACGCCCCGGGTTGTGTGTGATTTTGGTGGGGTCGAGTAACACACCCTCATTTTGAAGATACTGCCCAATGTACTGCTCTTGTTTGACACGATCATCACCCACCCATCCAGGCCAACCAGAAGACTCTTGTTTCACCTGGACCCATTTGTTTATGTATTTTGTAAACAGACCCCCTTCACGTGTATCCTTGTCATACACTGTCGACTTTGGAAAGTCCCAGTACTCGTATATTTTGATAATGGTGTACTGTTTGTCGAGTGCCAGGTGCAGTTCAGGTGTGCAGAAAACGCCTGTAATGCATCGCTGTTCGTCATGATGAGTGCACTCAGCCTGCTGCTTTGTTATACAACATTCATTGCAGAGGGGGAACAGAAGTTTACCATCGACTGTTTTCGGCAGAACCCCAAAAAGTAGCTTCCTTGGCGGCAATACCTAAACATACGCATATTATAATTATAAAATATAACACAAATTTTAACTCATAGGTGAACATTAGCAATACTAGCCGAACATTACACAAGTAGTATACGTCTTGCATTACACTGCTTTGGAAACAACATGATTTTATTGGTAAAATGGTGGATATATAACTATACCTTGCAATACACAAGACCAAATATGGTCTTAGGATCCAAAGTGTCCTTGACAGCAGAACCGTACACAATATTAGGATGCCCCAGTGGATACCGCTTATATTTATTAATGTATGGGTATAAGCTTGTAAAATCAATGTATTTCATCTTAGTACCCTGAAATATAAGAGTATCACAATTACCACATTGCTTTAGTTTTGTTTATAACTTTTTTCGATTTATATAGCCCTAATCAGATACTTACAGGTTGACACTTGACGTACAATCTACTGGGAGAGACACGTCCACCTTTGAAGGCATCCCTAGGTGTAAGTTTGTCAGGAAACTCTAGCCCCTTGAGGTAGGCATCCATACCAGGATTGAGCTTACGTTGAGCCCTAAATTCACAGCTCCAAACGGTAGTCACCCTATAGCCACAGCTCTCAAGATACCTAAAAAACAAAACAGAAAAAAAAAACATGTAACTAGAAGTAGGCATCCTTTTTGAGTAATACCCCTTGCTGTTTAGTGGGGTCACAGCTACAGGCCCACACGTCAATTAAGTTAAGGTATTTTCAGATAGCTATTCAAGTCGTGGCGCCAATATACTTACGCTTGTTTTTTGAGGGTAGCCTGATATCTTTCATCCATAGATCTACCTTGAAAAGTGAGGGTGCGATCTTTGAAGCAAGAGTGACCGTGATATATACACTGAAAATAGATGTATAAAAGACATTCGTTAATTCGATCATTCATTAAAAATCATAAAGAATCATTCACGGGTATACTAAGTTAGAGAGCAAATAACCTCTTTGTGCTTACCCCATTATACTCCACGGCGTTCTTGGTCAGACCATTTTCAGGCGTCATCTGAACCATGTCTAGATAATACCGGCCTACACGAAGTTCACCACCACCATTCACGGCCGTCTTATAGGTTATACCCTCCGTGTGTTGTTGCCAAGCAGCATATTCAAGCATCTCCTTTGAATACAGTCGGGCTGGTTGATAACCTACAAGTCAGTCAGTTAGCCAGTTAATCGATCAACCAATCAATCAACCAAACATGTCAACCAATCAGTCAGTCGCTGTTTTTTATTATTATTATTATTAGTAGTATTTTGATGAAAACCATTGACAAACTTGTGTTGCAGTCTATTAGAGTGGTCTGACCTGATCTGAAATTGATTTTATTTGATAATTTGACGTTTTCTCTCGCTCTACCTTGCGGGGGTATAACCCCAATGGTGTCCTTCTCCATGTATAGTGCCCTATACACGAGACTGCATGCGGCAGGAATGGTACAGGCTATATCAAATGGGTTGAGTCCTGTGCTGGCAAGAAATTCTTTAATGAATTTCAACACGCCCTGGCGCAATACGCTAACATCACTTATACAGTAGTTCTCTGTAAATATATAGTAAAACACATGTATACACACACACACACAACTACATATACATGCATATAAGGTATTTGTGTAAAGAGATGAAACATAAATTCGCACTGTGCACATAGCCTACCTAGCTCTTGCCTAAAGTTCCAAGCTTTTTTCTCAGTCTCCAAAACCCCGTTGGTCTCGTTATACCACTGTAAAAATTTGACCTTGCTATCAGACATCATGCCATCACAGTCGTAATAGTATAGGTGGGGTAGGGCATTTTCTGAGTACCCATAGTTTTCAATGCGGTTAAACCTGTGTGGAAAGGTGCCTACAATCAAAGATGTGAAAAAAGTTGCTACACTGGGCACATGCCGAACCTTCATAAATGTACTTGTTTAAGTTGATGTTGTTTGTACATACATATACACACACACAACATACCCTTTTTGGTTTCCCCCAGGTGAAAACACTTATTGAACGCCGCCAGAGGTAGCTGTATAAACGACAAACTGCACTTAAGTTCAACCCCGCTGATATTGTCTTTTAAGTATATGACCTGGGACCCATTCCTAATGACAGTTGGCGTTTTAACACTACCATCTGCAGCCACAACGTGGTTTTGATCGCTATTAGTATAAAGCCATTTTAGAAGGAAATAGGAGTCATAACCTGGAATAAGGATGTCAAAACTCTATAACATTGTTCTTAATACGGAGTTTATGTACATGATAGGTCGTATGAGGCTGTTGTTAATTTTATTATTATTATGCATAAAACTGAGATTTTTTTGTGTACCTTTAAAATTGTGGGCTATGCCAAGGTAGGTGCTGTTCTCAGGTGTAAAAAGCCAACTGCAAAATTCATCGACACAGCTATCCCCAAAGAAGACAACCTGTCTTTCGCCACACTTTTCACATATGTCGCCATCAAGCCCATTGTGGTTGTACTCAATATCGAGACAGTGCTTGATACAACATTTTTGGGCCACAATAAGATTTGGTACGTGTCTCTGGTTGTCAGTGTCGCAGCGAGTCTCAATGTCAAAGAAAATATAGCCCCCAACTGTCTTTGACTCTTTCGCTGCTTTAACTATACGCGCCTTATTCCTTCGGACTTGACCTTGGTGAACAAAGTGAATACAAATAATAAATCGCCTAAGTCCCTGTGCGTGTGCGTGTGCAGACATTAAAACATGACATTTTTTGTTTAGCTTCTACATATACTGATATGCATACCTACATACAAACATACATGCATACATTGTGACGAGATTATAAGAATTTTGTATACATACCATCTTGCCTTTCATTTTCGACACCATCACCATGATCATTATCATCATCATCAGCATCGTCAGCATCGGTAGCAATAGTAGCATCATCACCACCGGCATCACGCAAAGTCTGAAAACGACTCTCACTTTTGCTCTTTAGAATAGGTAGCTGTTGAATGAAACACCAATGATCTTCTTTAACTTTTAGCTTGCACACACTGCAAATACGATCGTAGCATTTGTGCTCGCCTTTCTCTCTCTTGCGTGTGACCGGATTGACGGTCATGGGTTGTCGGTCCGAGACATGGTAACACTTAGTGCAATAGAATTTCTTCTCGCATTTTGATTCGTTTGACACCTCGGACGGTAGCTTGTGGTTCGCCAGACACTCAGCACTTTTAAAGTAGAAATGACATTCTACACATTGAAACTCCTTGGATACCTGCCTACCTTGGCAACCTCTACTAGCCCTTTCACAAGCCCGACAGACGTTTAGACATTCGTGATAAAGAGGGCTATTGTAACCCTCTTCACAGTCAAAACAGTAGTGTCTACAATTCATAAACACTAATAGACTCTTCATTACGGCGATATGGTTTTCGTAGTGGTACAGATAGACATGCTTCTTAGTGTCATCAAGGGTCGTTGCCCCTTTAAACAGCTGAAAATGCATCCATACAAGATATGTTTAAAGTACACAAGTCGTTAAAGTTAACATTCTGTAACATATAAGCAGCTTACTAACTTTACACATGTAATACAAGGTGATTAAGCACAGCTAGATAGCCTGGCGCTATACAGATATCTGCTAGAGTTATTTTGGAATAAGGCTTTTAAAAAACGCTATATGACATACCGGTTTCTTGGTGCTATTTTCACCAAACAGAAATATCTGATATTGACCCTCGTACACAGCTTGAAACCGACGAAGATGGTCCATATTACACAGCTGGCCGTTCACAGGAGGTGCAGTGTTTGAGCGTTCGTGGAGCTGTTCAGCCAGTCTAGTTTGAAGGTCCCGACCATGTCTGATGTTGTTCCAACGACTTGTCTGCTCAGGTGTCCTGTCATTTTGTTTAATGGCACTGATTTTTCGCCATTCGATAGCCAAAACTATGGAGCGCGAAAGGCATAAATTGTCCAGATTTTCAATGGAGATCATAGAGCGAGAGTTTTTGGCAAACTTGTGAAAATCGCGATTTTTGAAAGAGCCATTTTTGTACGCACCAAATGCAGGTGTATTTACGATGATGACATTGAATGTAAAAATATCTGTGAGCAGCACTTCTTGATTGCTTTGGATAATTCGCTCGATCATGTTAAGTAGTCGTTCGGCTGTCAATTCCTTTTTTAGAAGAAGTGCCGTATTGAGCGGCTCTTTGAACGAGGGATTTGAGACGTGAAATCTAACATGGGCGTGATCTGGTATGTCTGTCAGTAACTCATTGAATATGATATGGTCAAAAAGTCTATGAAGGAGGTCAAGCAGTTGTACCAAAGATAGTCCTTGAGGTATATGTAGCTTATAAGAATGAGTTAGTTCGTCCGTCCTCAAGCCCCTATGATGTCTACTGCTCACATTCGATTTCGTATAAAAATCTGTAATCGGCTGTTTATCAGGGTTATTTTCATTGCTATCATGCCCGCTTGAGTCTAAGTCGCTGTCGCTAGGAATTTCAAGTTGGATGTATTCCTCTTGACTTTGATCGGTAGGCGGGCTGGGTATTTCTAGCTGAATGGGGCTATCAACTTGACTTTGACTTTGACGATCAGTATTATTATTTTGACTCGGAGTATTCTCATTTCTATCGGTCCGTCCCTGACTTTCAGTATCTTGAGTTGAAACATTTTCAGCTCTGTCATTATGATCTGAGGAGGGGGTAGTACGACCGAGACCTCTTTGGTTTACACTGGTTTGCTGGTTTTTACTTTGCATTCGGGCTTGTACATACTCGCGTATAGACCGATTTATGTAAAATTTTGGCAGTTTATTTTGAATGGCCGTATGGATGAGTCTTGTAAATTGCGCGTCTGTGCTTAAAACGTGTCCGTCAAAATTGAGCGCAGTAAGGTCAATTTGATTTTCATAGTCTTCCAATGATAGCAAAAGTTGTAAGTCAGAGTCTTCGATGTCGAATAAAAATACAGAGTCATTTAAATCGTGAACGTCTTCAGGTACAGTGTCCGAATCCCATAAGAGCCTTTCCTGGATAATACAGAGAGAAAAAAGAGAACTATACGTACTAATAGTGAGTCTATCAAACAAGTTTATGGATCACTAAAATTCATATGACATATTATGCAGCAGACTTATAAACGAAATTGCGTTAAAATGAATCAGTATACTTACAATGCTCAGTTTTATTTGAACCATGAGTCGTCGTCTAGCTGCGATAAAGACATTGTTCTGTAGATTATGTGCGATGGTGAAGGCATCAAGTTGACTTACGGTGTCAATTTTATTCAAATGCTCATTTAAATCCATGCCACTATTTTTTTCGTATGAAATGCTTTTGAGCAGTATTGAATCGACTATTTCCTTTGACCGCTTTGTCTTAAATGAATGATAGTGGACAGATCATTGACATGATATCTATGATATAGGTAGCCAATCGGTCAATCAATGTACTACATGTGAAACAGGTATGTGCGCAAGTCCTGTATACCACAATCGTGATCATCAATATTTGGCGGACTTTTTTGTGCGCCAAAATATTGAATAATTTGATAGATTTTAGTGAATTATTAGGTAATTGTAAGTAATACCACCTTGATAACATTGCACTTTCAATAAAGAAATAAATTCACGTGTTTCTAAGTGACAGTCACAAACTGATTATATGATAAATACAAATAAGCTCTCTGGGATTATATAAAATTTTACCTTGTTATGTTTGCACGACCCAGGTAATAATGAGCACCGAGAATAGCCCACCACGTGAATTTGGGCGGCAAAGTTGTCACGTTTTACACAGTACAAATAGCAGGAATTCACCGCCTGACCGTCACTTGTTCTTGTTTGCTTGCATCGACAACCGGAAGGCTACAAAGATGACACTACCTCTAAGACTAGCTGTTCTGACAGAAATTCAAAAAGTACGAAATGTTGTCGGAGGCATTGATCCACACCAGCTGCACTTAATAAATGGGGCAAAAGATGGTTTGATGAGGTTGATTGAACCCGATACGAGAGTAATCGTTATAGAAATGGACTTTTCGATGACACCGCCGCCTCAATTGAGGGTATGGGGTAAAACAGTGAAGGCGATTACCAACATCCTAGACGCGACACCTAGGGGAGAAAAGTTCCACTATAGAGTTGAGGGTGTCTCTCTAAGAGAGGGCCGCGAGGAACACCCGGGTCTGACAATGTATAGAGGCCAGTCGGGCCTTCATGTAGCAAATGGATTTGGGTGTGATACAGATGCCATCATCACGTATGACGAGTTGCGGTTTACTTTAATACCGCACAGCTATGAAGAACCAGCTGAGCAATTTGTTGAACCTGTGTTTACTGCCTTAAAACGGGCATTCGCAGTTGCTGATCAAGACGTTGGTATATACCTTCAGATACACGTTGATGCACTACCAACGTACGGCGCGGGAAAGGAATTAACAAAGGCAGACAGAAAAATCGTTGAGAGATGTTGTATAAAAGACCCCGTGTTCACCCATTTCGTATCGATGAGAATTTGGGCGGGGAGTTGTTACAATACGATACTTATGAGTTGCGCCGTAGCTATTGCCCACGTGACTTTGGGGTTGAACCCCCCGGGAGGAATGTTAGCAAGCTTTGAGGTAGAGCGGTCTGTGTTTAGGCGGGTTGGTGATCGCCAACAACTTGTTGCAGGATGCACAATGGACTGGATAAACGGTCCCTCACTACAGGGTCACCAGGTCAGTTTAACAGACGCCTTCAGGACATTTTTAGAAGATAGTCAGTGGGTCGTGCAAGGCAGATACATGCACCTACGAGGGACATTTGGCCCAGGACGAGTACCTATCAAAGACCTAGGTAACATCCAATAACATTAACAATGGGTTATCACAAACCTAAGTATTTATATTATCAAATATATAATATATAGACAAATGTTTTACATAGGTATGCCCATAACACTATTTACAAGATTTAACTAAGGATGGCATCAGCATCAATATGTACAGAGTATATATATGGCCTTATGTAAATAGTCCGTGTAAAAAAGAGATTGTTGGACGGTCCTGTTGACTTGAGGTATTTGGCTTGAGTTGTGGGCATGACATCGTCTCACAGAGTTGAGGCACTGTAAATAAACAAAGTGTAGCTATGTAGATCATTGAAATACATCTTGTATAATATAATTGTATATTAAAATGTATATTTTTACAAAAATCAACAACGTGTTATATGAATTATTTAACTAGCTGATCAACATTAATATTTAAACTAAATATAGATGGCAGCTTAATTCAAAGAGACTGATTTTGACGTTGCTATTTAGCACTACATATAGAAACAATCCTATGTTAAGAGACTAATCTTGCCCGGCTATTTTGTTAATCATTAATAGTATCGATAAAGGACTATGCCTCAATATTATGACACCCTGTTTAAGCGACAATTACATACTATTAGTCGACTAAAAAAACCCATAATGAACTGTTTAAGAACACTTACTCAAAATGTGACTCCTCTTCATCGCTTTCACTACCTATCTCAAACCCCACGCTGTCTGCGATTGCTTGCCTCTGGGCGGGGGTGAGAGAAAACTCAACTTCCCCGTCTACTACAACCGTCTGTCTTTGACCCCTGCGACCTCTAGTCCACGGGGCATTCAGCCTGCTCCTACACACACACCCAAACCTCCTCACGAGTAGCAGAATTACCATGGCCACTGTAAAGAAAACAGGCAATTGTTTAATATTAAATCTAACCCAAGTCTTAATTTACCTTAATTAGAGCCTAAATTCGCTACTCTGTCTTTTGACTTTGGCGTTACTGTCCAGGGTAGACGCTCGCATTATGATATGAAGTAACTTTAGGTCATCAGTTAAAGTGTAAATATATTTCAGATCACAAATAATAGTAGTTAAAAGCAATAATAAAAAGTACTCACTCAGTATAAGGGAGATGACAGTCGCTGTAGCAATGACGGGTGCGAGCCAGGATGTAGCTTCCTGCTGACTATCACCTCGATAAAGAACCCCAGGCTCTGTAGTAGCGACCCCAATAACTCCCAACACACAGTTTCCCGATGTGATACTCTGTCTTACGACAGGCGGGACATCGCTACACATCCTCACCTCCACACACTCAACATAATCCATAGTATTAGAACATTGACACACACTGTCGCATAGGTTGTCCATGGTGAATAACTTTTCCAAGAATGAAGTAACATCTCTGTGCAGGTCACACTCCAGTAGTTCTAAAACCCACTGTCAGCGGTAGTTTATGTAAACAGACCATCAGCACAAGTCTATTGGGTTTAACGCCGTAGGGATAATTATGTAATATTAACTAGGATGGTTATAAATAACTACATCAAAATTTGAAACAATGACTACAAAACTGTTATTAGATATAATATATTAAATGTATATAGTATTTTAAACTTCAGTCGTTTGGTTGTACACCCCTCTCAACTCCACCCCAGTTATAAAATGATTGTTCAACTGATTCTGTCTTTTAAGCTTCTTAACTATGAGAATAGCAATGACGACACAGCATACTATAAACACTAAAACACTTGTTATTATTGCGGGTAATATAGCTTCATTTTGACGAGCTGTGGGAGGACTGTTTGTCACATTATGATATACTAGTGTAAAAGCATCAGTTGTTTGCGAGGGGGGATCCAGTTTTGTCGTTGTTGGAGGGAGCGAGTATATTCCTGTTGTTGTTACTTGATCATCGTGTCTTGCCGTAGTCGCTTGTTGCTCATTAGGTTCTAGAAAACATAATATGATATTTTTTCTGACTTTTTCCGGAATATTTGGTAGACCTTTTAGAAATATTAATCATTAACATAATGCTGACCGATTAATCGCCCAAAGAAAAGCTTATTTATTTAACAGGTATACATGAGGTTATGACCGGTGAATAAAATACACACGTACTTGTTGCTGCAGGGCGGGATACACGGGGCATAGTTGTCAGATCTCTAGTTGGGGTTATACTAGTCCAGCTACCACTTGCTAAAATTATACATATGTTTATGTACGTTTTTAGATTTACAAAATGTTTGCATCCCTTGTCTTTATTACCCAAATATTTTGACCGCGTAATACCATAAAATTTGATAGCTTGAGCAATAGACAGACGCTTTAAAAGTTTGAATCAATTCACCTCATCGCTCACATTTGAAGGTTGTCTTTTTACTTACATTGGGGATGATCTCTAGTCGTTGTGTACAACACTTCAGCTGTTTGAGACCCATTATAAAGCATAGCAGTTGTTTCATGCACAGGTAGATTCAGTGTAGACGACTGGACGCCTGCATTTATCACATCAAAACACTGCCCGGCAACTATTGTGTTTGAAGCGGCTACCTCAAAACACTGTTGGGCAATGCGACATTCAACCTCTACTCCACCATTAACAAATACACAGCTGCATGAATCGCATAAAATACAATTGCACTGCTTTAGAAGTAGACAATGAAAGCATGATGTGTAGACTAGAAGTATAAATGCGATATTCCAGATTCCAGCCATTTTCAGATGTTTCGCAGATGTAGCGCTTAGAAGTAATGATCAGTTTTCAGACCTCACTCATTCATATTGGATGGGGATGAATTTATTATATAAAATTAATAACATTAATCATATACTTAAAGTTATGACTTTTATTACGGACTTGTAATTAGAGTTAGACAGTAGAAGTCACCATGTGCACACAAAAGCATGTAAACACAAAGCCAATATACACCTACGAACACACATAGCGACATCGTGACGCATATTAACTTACTTAGATAAGATAATGTAATAATACACTCTTTGTGCATTATTGGCAAATCCCATAAGCCAGTATAAGTACTGGGATAAGGTATTATTGGCACCCCACCCCATAAGCCAGTATAAGTACTGGGATAAGGTATTATTGGCAACTCCCATAAGCCAGTATAAGTACTAGGATAAGGTATTATTGGCACCCCCCCACCCCCCCATAAACCAGTATAAGTACAAGTTTAAATAAGTTGGACCACTCTTTTCTGGGGCACGTTCAGATACACACAGCTAAAACACCGTTTCTAGAAAATATTCATTGCAACACAACTTGGTCAAGATGCAATCGTTGGGAGAAAGTTGTTTAAAGGTCATAAGGTCTTTGACATGGCCCATAATTGATTATGAGCACTGGCCAACACAACGTGTTATAAAACAGGGAATGAGTGCACTTTGGGGCTCGCATATGGAGGAAGGCTTTACGGAGGAAGGTGCCGTGATAAATGTGGAGTTACACTTAATCTTGACATTTCCTGAATGCACAGGCATCACAGGTGCTAACGTGGAGCATTTCCTTGAGGCACTATACTGGCGGTCCGGTGTAGTGTGTGAGATAAGGACGCATCAATATGACGCCCTATCTCTCGATCGAATGTCACAATGCGATGTGTGTCAAAACCCGACTAGTGATGAGACACCGGATAGCTATTTCTTCCGTACGTATGGTGGAATGCCAGGACGCGGCACGAGTTGTAAAGGACCGGAGCGATCATTTATGAACCGTCATGGCGATGACCCCCACAGGCTGTGCACTCGTAAAGGACCAATATGCCGTATAGACATTGTTATTAATGTCTTCAAATTTAAGGAGATCATTGCAAACACCGATCAAGAGCTAAGGAACCACTTCAATTTACCGTTCGAGGCATCCATCGAATCCCGATCGAAGTTGGTCTTTATGCAAGAGCCAGTACGCGATGCCAATTTGACGTTCATTCAGCCAGGAGACGTCTACTCTCTCGACCCTACAACCAGTGATAGGCAGCCCGTATTGTACGAGATTCATGCTATCTCACCATTTAGTCAGTCCTTATTGGCCACGCGAATAGACCTTTGTTTTAACTTTTGTGCGCTGCACCGATTAGTGCAGGAGCCAGCGCAACAGTGGGTGAAAGAGCTATGGCTACTCCGGTTGTTAGCCGACGACACTGGCCATGGAGACGATGGCGATTATGAGGAAATCAATGAACAATGGGACGTTAAACCAAATGCGGTAAGGTTTCAATACCTTAAATCGCAGACCAGTAATATTTCACACACCGGGTTTATAGCCATACACAAGGACCCATGTCGCCATATGACATCCCACATTTACAACCAGGGAACATACGATATTTTATCTGGCGGATTGAAGGAGGTATTTGCCTTGCAATCCTTAGATATATAGGTACATGTATTATATTTTATTTGACAATCTATGTGTGGAGATATAGCTCAGTGGTAGAGCAATCGACTGCAGATTGATAGGTCCCTGGTTCGAATCCGGGTGTCTCCTAAATTTTATCCTTATTAGTGGTGCAAATATTACCTATTGTGAGCTCGGTTGTTATATGAATACAGGGTCTTTACGTCCATAACCTATTTGCTTGTTTGTTTGTTTGCTTATTTATGATTAACCCGCCATCTTCAAAAACAATTTACAAAACACTTATCAGTCCAACTTATTACACTGATGATGTAACACACTTATCACTTATCAGATTAACCACTTATCGGCATACATCCAACTTTTTTGAATTTTCAAATGGCCGCCATCTTGTAAAGGCCGCCCATCCACCAGATCAACCACCTATTGGATGACGTCATACATCCGGCTTTTTTTGAATTTTCAAATGGCCGCCATCTTGTAACGGCCGCCCATCTACGTATATAGACTACTGATGTCTGTTTATCAACTAGATTTAACCAATAAAGATATATTCGATGATATCGAAAAGTAAGGATATCAAAGATTGTTCATCTTCCAATGCTTTTATCATGTCATATCACATTATTGTCAAATTGTAACATATCTAAATTTTCACACACGAAAGTACATAATATGGCAATCCTAAACAGTTTTGCGATTGATTTTTAAGTACATCAGTTGTAATAGCGTCACATTCATCCCACAAGCCATTCCATACATTTCTAATCCCTCATCTTATTATATAAAATATCCACTGTTCATGTGAGCCTTTTGTTCCTGGTGAATTGTTATTTGTATCCCATACGATAGGGAGAACACAACATATGTACTAGATACATGTAAATTATGCTCATGCATGCCTCTCTCGTTGCATTGGCTGGTATTTGTTCTTCCTGAATTAAAAAATTACTTGTCCGGAGGATATTGTCCATACCACTTTCCACTTCGTGTATATTAGGATACCAGTAACCAATAACACGATTGCCATAGAGAAAGCTTTCTCTCCTTATTGGCTGAATTCTGCATTGTAGCTCCTTTTTACAAAAACAATATTGAGACAATTAAGAAAAATGTAGTAGTCCTGCAGGAACCTTCTTTTAATCAAATCCAAATTGTATGAGATTATCCACAAATTCCTCCTACACTGAATGAGTCATCTCAATTCAATTTTTTCCATTAAAGCACTGGCATTAAAAGAATATTGTCAATAACTGATCAATCGCTCATACAATCATACGAGTGAATTGATATATTTTACGATGATAATAATACGATAATAACTGTATACTTTCCTATCCTGTTACTGTAGGACAAGTGAATTAATATATTTTACGATAATAATTTTTGTTTTTTCAATAGTATGTGATACCCAATGCTAATGTTCATGTGTCTTATCAGTTATCTTAAACCAATAAGGATTTGATCAATAATATTTCTTTTCTTTATGATCAATACTATTTGAAATTGTCATCTTTAATGTTTAAATGTTTAATTAGATGTGTTATTATCCATTATTTACAGTTTTTGATATAGGCGTTAGAAGCGGGACATAGTGAACTAAAACATGTGATACCCAACTCTTATGTCACGTGTCTTATCAATAATACTGAAAAGCTTCATTGTCAGAGATTGTTCCCCAGTAGACATGGCCATTAATAGGTCATCTTAAATTGTAATTGTAAAATACGTGATGGTAGACCCAATCTATTATATAATTGTTCTTCTATATATATCATTTGTGACTCGGGAACAGTCATTTTGACATCGAGTTCATACTGATCTACAGCCTCCTCTATAAATGTCAAACAACCTCCATTCATATGGGCAATTTGGCCAGGCGAGTCATTTTGGCAACCCAAACAGTTGACGACACACATTTCCAATACTCCAGTATGTACCAGGTACATGAATATTATACACACATATTCCTCAAGCGTCTTATGTATCTATATTATTCTTAGTTTCAACAAAGTATTGTATTCAGGTTACATTAATAAAGGTATTGATATTCTTCTGAAAAAAAATATAGAAATAATAGGTTGTTAAACAAGATGTAAATGAAATGAATTACAAACGTTAACTTTTCTTTATTAATTCTTATTTTATTATTAATTTCTTTATTTACCTCCTTCAGATTAGTTTGTAGCACGCAATGGCTATAACTATAAAAACAATGAATCACTTCGTGTTTTGGATACTTCTGCTTACAATCCATGATGTTTCTGGCCATACCAGACACTTTAACCAAATGGTTTTCATTGAGTGTACACCTCATCATATCGTTTTCTTTGTATGCCATAGTTAGTTATTGAATATCGTTATACGGGAATGATTTATTAATTTAAAAAAAATTAAAGTTTTCAAATTATTCTGATAATTAAACCTCAAAACTTGAGATGAACCTGTGGCTATTAAACAAAATGTGTCATTAACAAATCAAGGTTAAATCAATTGACTGAACAGATACATGATAACTAGCTTCGACGTCTCTTTTTTTACAAGAACATTTTAAGCAATTTAGATACAACTGTATACTTTCCTATCCTGTTACTGTAGGACAAGTGAATTAATATATTTTACCATAAAATTTTTTGTTTTTTCAATAGTATGTGATACCCAATGCTAATGTCCATGTGTCTTATCAGTTAACTTAAACCAATTATATTTCTTTTCTTTATGATCAATTTGAAATTGTCATCTTTAATGTTTAAATGTTTAATTAGATGTGTTATTATACATTTCTAGTTTTTGATATAGGCGTTAGAAGCGGGACATAGT